GCCAAGTCCCATCCAGGGCTCGCGGGCAGCTCTGCCCCGGGGTCAAGCCGCTGAGCCATTTGGCCGAGGCTGGGAGCGGGACGTAGAAGCTCATCTCGCAGCGTGGCACGGGGGCGTCCCGGGGATACCGCCTGAAGGCGGCCTGAAGGGCGCCCGCGGGGTCTGTGAACGCAGAGAGAGGCGCTGCAGGCGTAGACTTTCAAAGGTGCAAACTAGCCGGTCGTGAGAGACTGAGAGGGAGGATCGTTTCACTTTACAGCTGGGGGAAACTGAGGCCCGAGGTCACTGAGACCCAAAGGGCTGGGGGGTTTCGGGGGAGGCAACAGTTGGGAGCGAGTCCGGGATGACTCACCGTGAACTTTGAGGTAGCGCTCTGGGGCGAGGTCCGGTCGGGGAGGTGGGCTCTCCGTGCCCTGGCGCAGCAGCAGGGCAGCGGGTTTCTTGGCCAACTTGCCCCCGCCCGCATCCTCCACGAACCAGCACTCAATCACCGCGAGTCTGGCCGAGACAGCGGTCGCCAAGCCTGGGGAGAGGGGCGCGAGTGAGGGCACGGCCCCAACCTCAGGTGACCCGACCTCCCCCATCCCCGGACGTGGCGGGGCTCACCTCCCACCGTTCCCTGTGCAAAGAGTCACGGGGGTCGCTCACCCAAAGCCACAGCGAGGAGCAGGGACAGGCGCTTCATGGCGCTCGGATTTTTCAGCTCCGAAGACGCCTCTTCCTCCTTTCACTTTCACTTTCCTCCAAAGGCCAGCAGGTGGGGCGGAGGAAATCCCCTCTCAGGTTACGCGAAAGCTAGTGGGAGGCAGGTTCTCTCCCCTCCTTCCCCCCTCCCCTGTGCCAGGCGGGGATCCCGGAACAACCTCTCCAGTTGGGGAGTTCCAGTCTGGGGACCTCAGCCCCGCCCAGCCCTCCTGGACCACCCAGCGCCGCAGAGTCCCGGAACCTTCCCACACCCGAGGCGCCCCCACCTGTCCCCTCAAGCCCGAATCCACTTCCCTGAGAACCATTACTCCACCTTCCCCCACCTGTGCCAGGTCCCAAGCAGACACATCGGGGTTGTCGGGAAGCCAAATGAAATGACCAATAAATATTTTAATCACTGTTTAGAAAAAATAAGATTTAAAATAAAAACCTGTACTCCTACGACTTAGTCCCTCCTTGTCTCCATTCCCCCCCTCCCCAGTGAGAATTGAGTTGGGGGACCTCCAAAGTGGGGGAGGAGAGATTAGGGTAGAAATAAAGGGCACATCCGTTTTGGGGGGCAGGCTAGATTCTAGGACAAGGGCGGGGCTCTAAGGCCTGGTCCCCACAACTACACAAACACAGACTTCAGGTACAGACTACAACCACCTGACCCTTGACCCAGTGACTCCTGGATGCTCAACAAGCCCCCTCACCCCCACCCCCACCCCCACCCCACACGCGCCCTACTCGGGAGCTGGGGCTTCTGTGCACCCATCTGCAGGGAAGGAAGGGCTGAGTTACAGGGATACTTTGGGGAGGAGGGGCTGAGGAGTGGAATGGGGTAGCCCATGGTGCGACGCGGTTCCCCCTCCAGGATATATATACAAGTCCATAGAGACAGGAAGACAGTGTGTTGGGACATCACCTAGGGTCCACAGCGCCCGAGAGTCGTGATCCCTAATCTCTCTTCCCAGAAAGCTACCCCAGTGGGCCGCCCCTTCAGTTTGCTCCGCCGCCCCCACTGAAGCCCATTTCCACCTTGTGGACACTTAGCGGGGACCAGACGCATCGGCTGGACGGGGGCGTGGCCCCACTCGCCTCGTCGCCGCTGCCCCCGCCGCCTGCGGGGGACTCTCTCTTGGGCTGCAAGGCCGGTCCGCTGGGCCCGCCCCCGGGGCCCGGTCCAGCCCCGCCCCCTCCGCCTAAGTGGTGCCGTCGCTCACAGTGTCCCCGGTGGCGCATGAAGCTGTCTCGCCACATGAACTTCTTAGCACAGACACTGCACTCGTAGGGCTTAAGACCCGTGTGCGTCTTCATGTGCTCCGTCAGGTGATGCTTCATCTTGAACTTTTTGTTGCACACGGGGCAGTCAAAGGGCCGCAGGTTGAGGTGCATGTTCACATGACGATCTCGCATGCTCTTGTGGGAGAAGGCTTTCCCGCAGTGGCACAGAAAGATCTTATTTCCATCCCCACTGCCTGTCCCTCCAGGGGTCCCGCCGGTACCACCTGGCCCTCCCAGGGCCCCTGCCGATGTGCTCCCCAGGGTCACCGCCCCATGTTCAGCTTGGTTCCCTGGTGGCTGTGAGGAGGAGGATGATGAAGAGGATGGGAAGACTAGGATCTGGTTGCCCTGCATGTCCACTGGGAGCAGGGGCCTTGGAGGGTGGGCAGGAGCATAGGATGAAGGGGTTGGTCCCCCTGAATCATCAAGCCCTGCCCCAGGACCCCCACCTTCATAGGGACTAAAGTCATTGGAGGACTCACAGAAATTGACCTGCTCCTCTCCCTTGTCCGGAGGCTCAGACAGGGTCCGGACATCACTTATGCTAAGGGTAGCCTCAGGTCCTCCCCCTGCTGGAACCCTGGAGCCACCCCCCAGCTCTTCATCTTCATCATCCTCACAGGTCAACACCAAGTCTTCCTCCTCCTCATCCTCTTCCAGGTCTGGGTCTTGAGGAGCCAGGGGTGCCGATGCTGGGCAGTTTCCACCCCGCTTCACATATACCCAGTGTTTCTGTGGCACAATGCTGGGGGGTGCATAGGTGGTCCGGCGGAGCCCAGCCCCAGGGACCACTGCACCCCTCCCATCCCCACCGTCATCACACAGCTCATCTGCCTCCAGCAGCAGTTTGCCAGAGGTAGCACCCCCACTGCCAACCACAGGGGCGGGGAATACAGGGCCGCCCGCGCGGCGCTCCCCACTGCCCACTGCAGAAGCTGCAAAGGCCTCCTGGGAGGAAGATGAGAAATCAGTGGACTCCCGGGGGCTGAAGTAGTTGCTGCTGCTGGGGGACTGATTCTCACTGGCCCGGCTGGAGGCATGGGAGCGCACAGAGCTCACAGTGGCAGGGGCCACCGTGCCCCCACTCCCTGAGGGGACCCCAGCACCAGGGACAGTGACCGATGTGGCTGCAGCAGTGGTGACGGTGGTGGTGGTGGCTGAGGCCCGGCCTTCTCGGAGGAGTTCAGTGCACTTATCCACGATGTGCCACATTTGGAGCACGGACCCCACTGTGAGGAAGTTAACAATGTCAGCAGCGGCCATGCTGAGGCGGCCAGTGTAAGCTGAAGCCAAAACAGTCTCAAAGGCTCCTGGGTCCATGACGCTGGGCAGCGAGATGGAGGTCATGCCCTTGAGTAGGACCTGGTCGTGGAAGTAAGGGGAAGAGGCAGCCAGGACAGCACGATGAGCCCGGAACTCCCGTCCCTGCACCCGGATGGACACATCACAGAGCTGGCCCTGCAGCCGCTGCTGATTGAGAGACTCCAGGAGGGCACTGGTCACCTCTGGGAAGGACACATGCACCACCGCCGCTGCAGGCAGGGGCAGTGGTGGCGGGGCCAGTGATAGAGGCAGGGGAAGTGCTGCCCCGCTGGGAGACAGAGGAGATGGCTCCATGGTGTGGAGGGAAGGGATACCCCCCCAGCCACAGGAACAAGGGAAGGAGGAGGGCGGCCGGGGGGGTCTCTGGAAAGAAAAAGAGAGACGAATGATAACATCTCATAATGACACAGCCCTTTACAGTTTAAAAACACATTCACATTTATTATCTGGGTAACCCCCTACAAGGACACTATAAGGTAGGCACTCCTCTCAACCCCATTTGACAGATGAGAAAACTGAGGCTCAGAAAGATTCAAGGTCACACCATTAAGTGGCAGCACCCACAAACGCAGGAGTCCTAACTCCAAATCCAGTGCTCTTTCTTTGGAGGTTAGAGAAATAAGGTACTCCTGGGGACTGGGGTGACTCCCCTCAGAAATTCCCACTTGCCCTGAGAGCCCGACTTAATAAAATTTACCTTACTGGGGTTTTGTACACTTTTCTTGGGTGGGGGGGGCAGGTCTGTTCTGGCATCGAAAACCATTTCCCTTTAGGCCATGCCCCTGGCTGGCCACGCCCCTTGCCCCCAGTTATCCCTAATCGCCCATCTCAAGACCCGCCCCGTGGCCTTTTGGCTCCGCCCCTGAGTACCCCCGCCCACATAGGACCCCGCCCCCCTCTGCTCCGCCCCAAGCGGTACTTCGACCTCCTCTCCCACCCGGAAGGCGCCCCCCAACCCCGCGCGTCCCCGCTTACCGGGCCGCGCGCCCCCGGGCCCCCCCGCCCCTCACTCGGCGGCCAGAGCCGCAGCCTGGGCCCCTCCCGCCGCCATCTTGCGCCGACTCCCTCCGCCCTCCGCCTCCGCTCCGCCTCCCGCCCCTCAGGCTTTAAAGGCACAGGCGAGCACCCCGCCCGAGCCGCTGGGCAATACTCGGCCGACTCGGCCACTTCTCCTTTAAAGAACGGCTGCTTCATTCCACCTTAAAGGTTCCACGTCTCGTACGCCGCTAAAGACTCAGGACTCGGGTCTGCCGAAGCTCTCATTCCCCTTTAATTTGGTAAGCCTGCCTCTTCCTATTGGCGATGGGTCTAGGCCTTCGCTGCTTGGGCTCCGCCCCTGAACTGTGGCCATTAGCGCGTTTACGCTGTCTAACCGCCCCGGTCGCCCAGCTTCTGACAGTCCTCCTGAAGCCCCGCCCCCCACCTCTGGTCCTGGATTGGCTAGATAACCTTGAGTCGGCCCCTGATTGGCTTTTTTATTGCTGCCGCTCGAGTGGGAAAGAAAAGCACATTAAGGAGGCAGAAGCACCTTTTAGTGCCTTGCAGAGGGCAAGGAGGCCTGAGGATGAGAAAAACTCCAACAGAGGCGTAAAGGCAGCTGGACAGGGCAGATCCAGGGCTGTCCCGGGGGAACGGCTAACCCTGAGCCAGCGAACAGCTGGTGCCAATCACCAGCTGGTGAAGGCGGGACAAGGAAAAGACAGGGATACAATAAGAAAAGAACTTTATTGTTTATTAATGTTTCTGTGTAAAACTTAAGCTTTGTTGTTGTTTTTAAAAAGAAACCACCAAAAGGCGATTAGCTCAGTCCATCCCTTCCTCAGTCATGTGCTTCCTACCATCCTCCAAGTACCATCCCAAACATTTTGGGGGCAGGGGGGAGGGGGAGGTGGTTAATCAGAGTCTGAGAGCACGATGATCTCCTCGGGATCACACTGTGTGGCAACACTCATCTGCAGGGGAGTAAGAGACAAAGAGTCAGAAAGGTCTGGAACATAGTGGAGGAGAAGCAAGGGAAGGACTTTATCAGAGATCAAAACTTAGGGTGGGAAAAAAGAGGGAGGAGGTAATGAGTGCAACATTCAGACAGAGAACCCCAAATGAATAAGGAAAGACAATGAAGTTAGGAAACACAGCCACCCCCTCTTACCTTATAAGTACCAGGCCTGGAGGGCTGTGACTGGGGAGTGTGGGACACCCGGGTTGGAAATGGGCTACAGAGGGAGCTGGTCACCAAGCCATGGCTAGGAGAGTCCACCCTTGTGGAGGAATCAGCAACTGGAGCCATAGAAGCCAAGGGGGAAGGCGGGCTGGGCAGGGTATGTGTCTTCTGCTCATTCTTCTTCTGCACTGCCCTTGGCATTTCCACATGGCTAAAGACAGAAACACACATGGGAGGAGGGGTATGTGGAGCCTGAGGCTGGAGGGGGAGCGTGCAGTTTTTCCCCAGACTCCTTTCTACAATATTTCTCTCAGAAAGCCCCTTCAGTCCCTCCATGGCTTCCCTCTTTCTCCTGTTGCTGTTACCTCTTTCCTAACGGCCCAGCTTCTGTTTGCTTCTCCTTCCGAGATTTCTTGCGGGGGGGACTGGAATCCCCCCAGGTGTGAGGAGAGATGCCTCCATTGAAGGAAGTGGAGGTGACCATGGCGGCCCCATTCTCCAACACAGTGGTGAGGAGGTCCTCTGATTTCTTGGAAGAGGAAATGTCCCTCTCCTCAGGGGAAGGGGTCGTATCCAGGGGCAAGGCTTCAATCTCTAGCTCGAAGAGCTGTGACATAGGGCTCTCTTCCTCCAGGGGCAACTCCTCGAGGTGCTCTTCCCTGCTTTCAGCAACTACATTAGAGGGGGCCGGGGGCTCTTCTGCCAGTAAAGATGGTGACTCTGTGAGTCTTTTGTTTTGCTGCTCCTCTGAAGACCCGCTGTTCCCTTTATGAGGTTCCAGGTTCTTTTCAGTGGAGATCGCTAGTGGGGACATGGGGCTCTTATCTCCATCCTTCCCTGGAAAAAAGGAAAAGAGCAGACTGGCAGCAAAAGAACTGGGGGAAAGAAAACTGCCGAGAGGACACTGAGAGTAAGAGGAAGAAGGAAAGGATCTCAAAGAGGGGGCTCATGCCCAACAGAGCAGAGAGAGCTGACACATGAGAAGACTGTTTCTTTGACATACCTGCTTCCTCCTCCTCCTCCTCCTCCTCCTCCTCTTCATCGTCCCCCTGACCTTCCTTCATCTGTTCCAGATCCTCCTCTTCTTCGGAATCTGTGGCCTCATCTTCTTCCTCCTCATCTTCCTCCTCTTCCTCTTCCTCCTCCTCCTCTTCACTTTCCTCATCTTCTTCATCATCGATCTCAGCCTTGGAAGTGGTAGGACACTCCTGGGATGCCATCCCACTAGGGCCCTGCAGAGGACAAAGGAGTTTCCTGAAGGAATCTGTTGCCCCATTCTCAAAGGAATGCTTCTTGCATTCCTGCTGCACACACCACGATCAGTCACCCCAGACTCCCTCCTGGCCAGTGCAGGGGAAGGACAAGGTCTCTCCTTTCATACCTCACCAGAATCCAATGAGGATTTGGGGGTATCTTCAGAATGGGAAGAGGTGGCCTGGGGGAGCCGGGCTCTTCTCTTCTGTCTCTCGCTCTCCTCACTCTTGTCTTGCATCATTGCGTACTTGGAGATGACCTCATCCAGCCGGCTCATAGCCAAGCTCCGGTTCTCCCGCAGGCGTCGGGCCAGGACAGGATCTGACAGTGCGGGATCAATGCCTGTGTGGGAATATATAAAGTCAGTGTAGTCACCCAGAACTCTAGAAGAAGGAACTAAAGAGATGCCCGCTCACCACACACACCTGACAAACGAAGGTTACCAAGGAGCATCTCACTAATGCCTACCTGGCCTATAGTCATCTGTGAGGTGACAGCCAAAGTTGTAGATGAGATCCAGGTGGCGACGCTCCTGTAACCTGATGCCCACATCTCGGAAGGCATCCTGAGCCATGAGCTGGAGCTGCTGTCGGGGGAGGCCAAGGCTGTGCCGAGCAGCTGCCTTCTCTACGGCCCGCAGTACATCTCCATAGTCAGGGAAGGTATCAGGCCCTGGCTTGTTGATGAGCCGCTCAATGCGCCTGTTGACCTCTGGGTAGCGGGTACCACGGTAAGGGATGCGCTGCTCTATGACTCGGCCTGTCAGTGAAGAGCAGTCTTTCAGCTCACACAGCCGCCCAAAGAGACGGATCAGCTTACGCTTCAACCTTGCTTCCTGCAGGTAAGTGGAGTCTGGGTCATCCAATTCTGAGAGATCCAACTCCTTTTCTTGCAGCCGCCGGATCTCTGCCACATACAGTGCCAGCAGCTGCTCCAAGCGCTGGATCTGCCGCCGTGAACCACGGGTCCTTGGGGCCTCAGAGGCAGTGGTCTCAGCATTTGGGTCCGAGGAGGGGTCTGTGGGAGGGTTATTCCCAGAGGGTTCACTAGAGGTGGTGGCAGCAGGGGCCAGGTTCAGCTTCTTCTTGGCTGAGTGGGCCTTGAGAACCGTGCAGAGCTCATTAATGTAGACATAGAGCTTAGCTGGCCGGTTCCGGGCCCGAGCGAGGACCCGAGAGAGGATGTTGCAGAACTCCGCCGAGGCCAAAAACAGAGGGTGGGCCCGCTGCTGCCGGTTATAGAGGAACGGGACCACCTCAGGGTGGTCCGCCGTCTGCGTCTTACACAGTTCAAGGAACTGGAAGGTTCACGGGGGAAAAGGGAGGGGAAAAAGATAAAGGATAGGGTTGAGAGAAAGGTGAGGTGGGGTTAGTGGGGGAGAAAGGACAGGAGAGCCAGTCAGCCATCCCCCTCCCTGGAGCACGACAGTCTTCTCCCCTAAAGCTCACCTCTTCAAACAGCTTCTCATTCTCCGACTTGTAGCATTTCTTGCCGCCCGAACTACTGCTTCCTCCAGCCCCATGGGGCTGAGAGGAGCCAGGGGCTTCTGCCCTGGGTGAGGCCGGATTAGGGGGTGGGTGGGAGGGCCCTGGCTGAGCAGCTGCTTCATCTTCATCATCATCATCCAGCACGATGATGCTGTTAGCGGTGGCCATAGGGGATCAAATACCCCGGAGGGAGGAAGTGTTGGGGATTTCGTAATTCCTGCTGGAAGGGGATGGGGCCTCAGACAAGAGCCCCTCCAGCATCACCCCATCCCTTCATCTCACACGTTTTCCAGTCTTCTGGGTTTCAAAAGCACCCAGCCATGCCCAACAGTGTCCTCATTGCCTAGCTTCAGCAAGCATTAGTACTATATGTTTTTCCGGCCCTTTACTGTGGGAGTTCCAAACCTTCTGAAAACCTGAAGTCCCACCCCCAGCTCCACCCCCCCGCCTATATCCGGTCTTTTTCAGTATCGTTTTTCCCACTATTTCTCAGAGTTGGCAAGTTGATTCTTCCTCTCAACCCCTGGACGACCTCTCACGCTGCACTCCAGATTTCCTTGACATCCCCTCGAACAGATACAACAGCCCCGCTGGCACCACCGTTCTCCCTGTTCGCTCTCTCTCACACATATCACATCTATACCCTCACCCCATTCCGAAAGATAACCCCAACTCCGAGACCCTCTGAGCAGGAGGTTCCCTCCCAACAACCCATTCCCTTTTCTCCTACTTAAATTATCTCTATATTCCACCCTCTGATGGGTCTCCTCAAACCGAAGCGTTAGGTTGAAGGTATTTCACCTCAAGTCCCCTCCTTCTCACCCCACCCTAATTTTCCCCATTCTCTCTCAGTGACCTGTAACCGATCGTGAGCTCCACGCTGGGCTCTCCCGACTCCTCTCAGATTCCAGCCCTGAGTCCAGTCCTTCCCCTAAATGAGCTTCCCGCCAAGTCCCCCTCCCCCAGTTCAACCCCTGGCCGCCCCACTCCCCTTCAGGGATAGGAAGGAAGATCACACAGCTTGCCCCTCAGACTCAGCGCCCGGGACTCCCCAGTACCTCTCCCTCGACATTCCTGCCCCCGCCTTCGCTCCCCACACCGTCCGGCCCCCACCTCAGAAACGGTCTCTCGAGGCGACCCTCTCCGCTGATCTCAGAACCTCGCATGGTTCCCTCCGTCTTCCTTCCCCCTCCCACCGCGGGCCCTACTCCGTACCGGAAGCCGCGGAGTCTCCGCCCACACGCCCTGGGCGCGGCCATGTTGTCGCACGGAATCCAGTGTCCCCGTGAGGCAGGAAGGAAGGTAGGACCGCCCCACCTAGAGCCTCCGGTGCCGCCTACATAGTCTGCGGCTCCTTTCACCCTGACCTGCAGGGGGCGGATTTGTCGCCTCTGGGCGCCCTAAATAACTGGGGGCCGCCATTTTGCCGTACGGACTCTGGCTACGCCGGGACTGGGGCGCGCCGTCTGTGGAGCTCTTTTCACCCGGTGCTTCCGCGACTCAGCCAATCAGAAACTTCCCGCATCCCGGCCCAACCACCGGCTAGTCGCGTGCGGGGAGGACTGATCCACCTTTCTACGTTGGGGAGGTGGGGTGGGGGGAGTAACAGAACAGCTGGGGGCGAGGAATGGGGCCCTCCAAGGCTGAACAGGGATGCAAGGAAAGGCAAGTGTCTCTTAAAAGGGAAATAAAACCTCTTCTATCCGCTGGGCTTTTGACAAGCCTTGTGGCGCTACTTTCCTACCTGCAAGGTCCCAGTTTCCGCGGCTCAATCGACTGTACCTGTCATTCCTTTCTGGTCTGCGCGCTCCCTTGCAGCTGCCCAGAAGCTACTTCTACATCCAGGTGCCTACATCTCCCAATCATGAAGTCATAACACATGCATACAAACGAGCACAACACGCTATACAAATGTGTTGTTATTATTATTGCTATTGTTGGTGTGCTTTTCAGGCTCCACCACAGAACTAATGACCGACCAACCAAATAGGTGGGACCTAGTTGGTTCTCCGTCGTTTTCTGGAGGGGGTTCCCGAGGCGCAGGCGCTGATGACAAGGAGGCTGTGCTTTGTCCAGGAGCTCTAGGGCCTGAGGACAGGAGATGTGGGGAGGCAGCTCTGAGCAGAATCTGTAAGAGCTGTGAGAAGAAACAAGGCTCGTAAAATACCTTGAGTCTCTTCTCCTCCTCTTCCTCTGGGAGAGCTGATGAAGAAAGAGAGAAGAAACCAACATTGGCGCCCGCCTCGCCCACATCCTCACCCTAAACCAATTTTAGGGACATTGGAGGGGCTCGAAGAGGCAAAGCTAGGCCCAAAGGTGAGCTTCGGAGGAAACCGGAAAGGTTAACATGATTCCAGTCGCTGAGTTTCCCGCATCCTTGAGAATTCCACAGAGGGTGAGCATCTTGCCACTTTCTAGGACCACAGTCTCTTACACCCAAGCCCTCAGAGTTCCAGAACCTCAAACCCTCACTCCCATTAAAGAATCCCACACCACTTCTCTCCAGTCGTCTAAGCCTGTAGTCTTCAAATTGGGGGACATGAAGACTCGCCTAAGGGTACTCGGATTCGAGACATGTAAAGGATTAATTTCCAGATTCTCAGTTTTCCCAAAATTTGTTTTCTGAATAAATGCCTGCACTAGAGCTTCTTCCTCTACTCTTTTACAATAGACTTTCTCCCTCTCTATTTAAAAAGAAAAAAAAAGTTATAGTTCTTAGCCATGAAATCTCCTAGGGATAATTTTATCTTGTTTTACCTTGGTTGTTTTTTGTTTGTTTTGGGCCACGCCCTGAATCTTGCAAGGATCTTAGTTCCCCAACCAGGGGTGGAACTGGCTCCCAGCGCCAGCAATGAAAGCACCAAGTCCTAACTGATGGACCATCAGGGATTTCCCTTAGAAAGTGAAGTCGCTCAGTCGTGTCCAACTCTTTGGGACCCCATGGACTCTAGCCTACCAGGCTCCTCAGTCCATGGGATTCTCCACTTAAGAATATTGGAGTGGGTTGCCATTTCCTTCTCCAGGGAATCTTCCGGACCCAGAGATCGAACCCCGGGGTCGAACCCGGGTCTCCGGCATTGGAGGCAGACACTTCAACCTCTGAGGTACCAGGGATTTCCCTTACCTTGTCTTAAATAAAGAGACATGTAACAGTATTGTAATTATCATCTAATTTTTTTAAAAAAGACATGTAGCCTATTTCTTTTAAGGTACCATAAACACCATCTTGTCTATCTCATTTTAAATGTACTTTTAATATTAATTATTATTATTAAAAGAATATTAATATTCTTGCCTGGAAAATCCCATGGATGGAGGAGCCTGGTAGGCTACAGTCCATGAGGTCGCAAAGAGTCTGACATGACAGCTACTTCACTTTTTTTAATATTAACAGTTATGAAAATGTGTACAATCTTTATGTTATTTAATCACTTCTGCTCTCATAATAATTGTAATGATAACCCAGAAGAAATATTTCTAAAAACCTAGAGTTTTATGGTCACAAGAAAAAAATATTTTTCATCTCAATTATAATATATATATGTAAGAAAGTGTGATAGGGGACTTCCCTGGTCATCCAGTGGTTAAGACTCTGTGCTTCCATTGCAGGAGGCCTGCCTTAGATCCCTGGTAGAGGAACTAAGATTCCCCCGTGGGTGCAACCAAAGAAAAAAAATTTTTTAAGTCTGATAAACTGGTCAATAAAAGACTTTCAAGTATAAAAGGATAAAATTGTGGGGAAGTCAAATGGTAATAGGAGTTCTAGGAGAATAGAGAATGATGGATTAAGAAAAGGAAAGATTCCCAATTATATTTTTTAATGAGGGCTAGTGGATATCATCACTCTGATATTTCAATTCTCCTGGACACAGAAAAGACTGATTTATTTTAAAAAGTGAATATTTTGCATATCCCAGGAATTACATCGTTGGAACAATGTTAATTTATGATGATAAAGTTTATATGCTTACTTAGAAGTGCTTGAGAAGTACAAACTTTTTCGAAATTATTTCCTGAAGTATAGGTGCAGAAATTTTAAGACAGTTGCTCTCAGCTATCCAAGTGCCGCTCCAAAGCCCCCAACAGTGCCATTCCCCTCCACCCTGTATCCCCTCTCACCTCTGTGGCAGGGCAAGAGTACGTTTATAGGAAAGGTGGTCACAATTCCAGCTCCTCCTCCTTCTCAGGTGTTCTCAGGAGCCAGTCCTCAAACTTTGCCCAAGGTAGCAGCCATAGAAGCTTACAAACAGCCTCCAGCATCAGTAGTGTCACGATGAGGACCAGGAAGATAAAGAAGGCTTTGTCCATGGCCCGCCGCAGGGGACCCCTGGGAGGAGTGGGATGTCCGGCAAATGCCAGGAACACATCCTCCTCATCCACATCGCCCTCCTCCTCGGCCATTCTAACCCACAGTCTGACCGCTGGCTTGAGCGAGGTGGCTGGGATGGAAGCCCTTAGTCAGCCTTGCCAGGATTAAGGGAAGTGATGCCGGCAAGTCCTGCACCTGCCCAGCTTGACCCTAATTCCCCCAACCAAGAGGAAAAAAGGAGAGGAAGGCCTCTGAGTCTTTGAATGATCAATGCAATGTGAATGATCTGAAATAAATAATTCCTAAACTCTGTCCAGCTTTTGGGCTTCCCAGATGGTTCAGTGATAAAAGAATCCGCCTGCCAATGCAGGAGACACCATTGGATCCCTGGGTCCGGACGATACCCTGGAGGAGGAAATGGCAACCCACTCCGGTATTCTTGCCTGGAGCCGGAACAGAGGAGGCTGCCTATAATCCACAGAGTTGCAAAGAGTCAGACACCACTGAGCCACTGAGGACGCACACACCCACGTCCAGCTTTTTAACTTGTGTTTCGGAAACTGAAGGCCCAACCGAGACCTGCTAGCTGCAGCTGCCCAAGTCATTCTAGGTCTCTAAGATTAAGGTTCAAGGCATTAGGCCCCTACAGCCCAGGACCTAGTACCTACTGTGAGCCGGGGTCCCCCCCCAAATGGTGGTTGGTAGGCGGAGTGCGGAGGGAGGGAACAGATCAAGAGGTAATAGACCTCATATCTGGAGTCACTAGGGTCTCTTAGCTAAACTCCACGTTGACCTTGATAAGAAAACAAATTTCCTTGGGAAGACCTTGTTGACCCCAAAATGGTACAACCAACGGATGTCACAGTTTTGCTTAGAATCAACTCATATTATCGTTTGCTGCCGCCACAGGAAACCACATTACCTGTCAGGAAAAAGAAAGAGAAACTAGATCGGAGTCCGAACTAATTATTTATATTTTTAAATCACTCACAGCTTTGTTTTTAAAATAATTTTATTTATGGCTGTTCTGGCTCTTTGTGGCTGTGTGGGCATTTTTTCCTAGTTGGGGCAAGCGGGGGCGACTCCCTAGTCGCCTATGCACGGACTTCTCATTGCAGTGGCTTCTCTTCTTGCCGAGCAAGGCCTGTAGGTGCGCATGGGCTTCAGTAGTTGTAGCACTTGAGCTCAGTAGTTTCTGCTCGGTCAGCTCTAGAGCACAGGCTCAGTAGTTGTGGCACGTGGGCTTAATTGCTCCCCAACATGTGGGATGTTTTCCCGATTAGGGATTGAACCCAGAACGTGTCCCCTGCATTGGCAGAGGGATTCTTTACCACTGAGCCACCAGGGAAACTCCATACTAATCATTTATGAGTTGTGTTAATTAAACAAGGAGAACATTAGACTGAGGTGGCTCTGATGCCCTGGCAGTCTACTGAAGCCAAAATCTAAACCTATGAATACCTCAAGATCAGGTAATCAAGAAGCTAGAGGAGGGACTTGCCCGGAGTGGTTAAGAATCTGCACTTTGCACTACAGGTCCCACCGAGTTGGGTGAACTAAGGTCCTGAATGCTGCATGGGCAGACCCAAACCTGCTCCCCCCACCTGCCAAAAAAAAAGAAACACTGGAAGACAGTCACACACAGCCAACTGGGCTAACCTATAGCCAGTCAAATAATTTCCTTTCTCTGTGTCCGCGTTTTCTCCACTTAAGTCTTTCCTCTGGGTCAGGTCTGAGGATGTTCAAACTACCCGTGCAGTTGTGCTCCTTTCACAGGCTAGCAAGGTAATGCTCAAAATCCTTCAAGCTAGGCTGAACCTACTTCAAGCCAGTACGTGAACCACGTACTTTCAGATATACATGCTGGATCTAGAAAAGGCGGAGGAACCAGACATCTAATTGCCAACATCCGTTGGATCATAGAAAAAGCAAGAGGATTCCAGAAAAACATCTGCTTCACTGATTGATTACACTAAAGCTTTTGGCTGTGGCTCACAACAAACTGGAAAATTCTTTTTTTTTTTTTAATAAAACTATCTTTATTGTTGTTCAGTCACTGTCTTGTTGGACTCTTTGGGAACCCATGGACTGCAGCACACCAGGCTCCCCTGTCCTTCACTACCTCCCGGTGCTTGCTCAGATTCATGTCCATTGTGTTGATCGTGCTATCTAACCATTTCATCCTCT